CACACAGTCACTCATGTGGTGACTCACAACTGGCTGTAATCCATCCCCAGGGGATCCAACACCCTCCTCAGCCTGCCTAGGGCACTGCATGCATGTGGTGTATAGACATTCATTCCTGCAAAACATCCATTTAATCCTCCAGCACTTGAGAGGTAGAGACAGGCAGATCTCTGTGGGTTCAAGGCCAGCCTGGTCTACAGAGCAAGTGCCAGGACAGCCAGAGCTGTTACACAGAGAAACCCTGTCTCAGGAAAAAAAAAAACCTGAAAACCAAAACCAAAAACCCCACATGCTTAACTGATTCAAAATCCATAGGAAGTGAAAGTAAGTACAACCTGGTTTTATTGTGAAATAAAGACTATTAGACAACTTAAAATTTGAAAGTGTCAGAAGGTGGCCCATTAAAGCCAAGCGTTCTCTCTCTTATGATGTCCCCATTTCTTGCTGAAACCATCTCCTGATGCACAGTGCAGTAGGCAGTGGCAGCTCATTTATCTGAATAATTCCATGCACAGTATAAGGAGGTGAAGAGCTCTGGGCTCAGCCTGCACTCGCTGCCCTCAACACCACTGGAATCCTCTCCTGCCCTCAACACCACTGGAATCCTCTCCTTCTTCCCTTGCTCCTGCAGGAGAATGTAACCACTTGCTATCTCCCCTGTTTCTTCAGGAGAGTTGATGCTGTTTGTTTTGAAAGCTGTAATCTTAGGATTAATGGATAAAGACGTTTAGCTCTGTGCTTTTCCCCTGCCCTTTCTCATGAGATAGTTGACTGTCCAAGGTCATTGGAAGCCATTTGGTGGCTCAGAGCTTGCTGGAAGGGAACATCCTGTAATTCTCAGGCTTTTGTAGGATAAAGAAAAACCTTGTAAAAGAACTTAAGAATATCCAAGTATCTGTCAAGTCTACCCAACAGGAATGGTAGGACTTAGAGGAGATGAGAGCCTTACAGTGTATTCCATGGAGGAATTAAGGACCCAGGTCCTAGAAGAGAGAATGCTGGTTAGGAAAGGGTTAGTGTCAGAAGAGACTAACAGTCCCCCACCCCACCCCAGTTACTTCAGTTGGGCCAGAAAGATAGGTAGAGTTGGTTAACAAAACAGCATGCAGAGATGGGCAGTGGTGTTCTCTGGCTGGGCCAGTTCAAGGCTCCAGACAAAGTGTGAAGAACAATTGATGATGGCGGACTCTGCCTGGTTCAGCTCAAACCAGTTCCAGGGACTGACTCACCAGGGTAACATGCCCAGACTGCAGTTACCCTTCCCCCTAGTGAACTTTGCAATTTTAGGGACTTCTTAAATCCTTGTTCATATTCTTGAATCACATATTTACTTGTAACAGAATGATTTTGGGGTAAAATGGGCTGCCAAGAAGAGCACACCTGTTTCCTGGAAGTTTCTACCCTGCAGGAGGCACAGGGGGGAGGCTGACAGAAGAGAGACATAAGCCCCATGCTGCAGGGTTCAGCCCATTGCTGCTTGGCTCAGCTGGCTTCTTTCTAAATAGTGCATGGAGGCTTCCTCAGCTGAGTTCACAAAATCCCTAGCTGCTTGTTCTACTGCTGTGTCTGAATTCTTCTCCTTTGGGAGCACAGGAATGAAGACTGCTCCTAGGGTCTAGAGCAGAGAAGACTCAAGACCAACTTGTCCTAGTTAGCTTTTTATCACAGCTCTGCTATGATAACAACCATGACCAAATGCAACTTGGGAAGGGTTTATTTGCCTTTCAGGTTACAGTCCATCGTTTCGAGGTATTTGATTACACTGTAAAGACATGCCATTGTGATTGGCTTAATAAAAAACTGAATAGCCAATAACTAGCTAGGCAGGATTTCCAGGCACAGAGGATGCTGGGAAGAAGGGTGGAGTCCCCAGGAGATGTAGAGGAAACAAGTCATGTAGGAGATGAGGTAACAGGCCATTAGCCACATGGCAGTATGTAGAATAATGGAAGTGGGTTAATTTAAGCTATAGGAGCTAGCTAAAAACAAGCCTGTGCTATTGACTGAGCTTTCATAATTGATAAAAAAAAGTCTCTGTGTGGTTGTTTGAGAGCTGGCAGGGAGGACAGAGAAAAGACTCCTTACAGTCTATCATCAAGGGAAGCCAAGGATGGCATCTGGAGGCAGGAACTGAAGCAGAGACCATGGAGAATACTATCTACTGGTTTCTTCGTTAGTTTTCTTATACAGCCTAGGGATGGTATTGCCCACAGTAGGCTGGGTCCTCTTATGTCAATTAGCATTAAAAAAAAATGACCTGCAGACAGGCACACAGCCATTGTGATAGAGCAATTCCTTAAGTGAGGTTTCCTCTTCCCAAGTGTGTCAAGTTGACAACAAAGGGTAGCCACACACTCCTTACAACAGGAAGTTCTAAGGCTGAGTGGGGGTGGGGACAGTATTAAGATTCTGTGAGGCCAACTTCAAGACAAGATCCAAGGCTGCCATCAGCAGTGGCAATGAAGGACAGTCTGTAGTTTGGACAGAGAGATACCCAGGCTGGGGTGCCTTTCTTGGAATTTTACTGCATCTCCATGGCAACCTCACTGAGGCAGCTGAGTTAAGAAGATTGTAAAGAGATCATGGTGCTTTGATTCTGTAGGTAAGCTAATTAGTTTGGTCCATATTGATGGCAAACCCTTAGATTTTTGTTTTAGCCTTTCATTTTCTGTATATTTTGAGTGTCCAGGAAGCCAGAGTCCCAAGGGTTGTGTTGAGTTTTACAGCCCCTGGACCCTAATTTGATAATGAATGAGACTGAATCCTAGAGAGAGAATGTGATTTGTTCTAAGTGGCACATCTGGGACAGCGAGCTGGAGAATTTTAACTCTACCTTTCTTGGCTTTAATGCCAAAGCTCTTCTGAAAACTGGGCATTTTAGGCAGTGGGAGCTCTTTTCTTTGATAGAGAATATCTTGCCACATGATGGTGGCACATACCTTTAATCCCATGTACTGGAGAGGCAGAGGCTGGCCAATCTCTGTGAGTTCGAGGCCAGCCTGGCCTACAGAGTGAGTTCCAAGACAGACTCCAAAGCTACACAGAGTCTCATTAAAAAAAAAAAAAAAAAAAAAAAAGAATATCTTGATAGACACACACTGCTGAAGGCGTGGAGAATGTCCTCTCTTCCTTAGCTCCCGAAGTGGAGAAGTACAGCTGAAGAAAGGAACTTCTCTGGGGCTGCAGTCAGCTCAGTGGTTAAGAGCGAACTCTGTTCTTCCAGAAGACCTGAGTTCAGTGCCCAGCACCCACGTGGTGCCTCTTATCCGCCTGTAGCTGCAGCTTCGGAGTATCTAACGCCTCCTAGGGCAACTGCATTCATGTGCACATACCCTCACACGGTACTACATATGCTTATAATTAAAAACGAAATAACTTTTTTATTTGTTTGAGACAAGGTCTCTCTGTGTGGTCCTGGTTGTTTTGGAACTTGCTCTGTAGATCAGGCTGACCTCAAACTCACAGATCCACCTGCCTCTGCCTCCCAAGTCTGGGGATTAAAGGGATTAAATGACCAGCTAACATCTCTTAAATTTTTTTAAACCAGCTCATCTAAGTTATATTAGAATTGTGACAGCTGTGGATTGCTAAACTAGATGACGTAGGACTTAAAAGTGTGTGTGTGTGTGTGTGTGTGTGTGTGTGTGTGTGTGTGTGTGTGTGTGGTGTGTGGTGTTTACATGTGTTTGGATTTGCGGGATTGTGTATGTGTGTGGAGGCTAGTGGTCAAGCTTAGTTGTAATTTCTCAAGAGCACCTTGTGTTTTGAGACAGGCTGGCCAGTGAGCACCAGGGCTCCAGAGTGCCTGCCTCCATTTCCCCAGCACAAAGGTTGTAAGTGTGTATCATTGTGCCTGCCTTTCTTTAATTTTTTTTAAAGACAGCCATGTCATTATGAAGACTTGGCTGTCCTAGAACTCTCTCTGTAGACCAGGCTGGCCTCAAACTCACAGAGATCTGCCTTCCTCTGCCTCCAGAGTGCTGGAATTAAGCCCCAGCCCCCAGCCCTGCTTCTGCCTCTTTTATACAGATTCTGATGATCACACTTGGGACCTCATATTTGTGTGGCAAGCCCTTTACTGGAAGAGCTATCCATGCAGGACTTTGTAGAACGTGGTAAGAATAGTATTAACATTTTCAATGTAATATTTTAGTTAATTACTTGGAGACTTTACACATGCATATGATGTAATGACACCCCCACCCCTCTCCTTCCTGTCATTTCCTTCAGCTCCGTTTCCCAACTCCCACTGTCCTCTCAACTCCATGTCCTTCTTTCTTTAAAAAACACATTTTATTCTTGTATGTGTGGGTGTTTTGGTTGCATGTCTGTCTGTCTGTCTGTCTGTCTGTCTGTCTGCCTGTCTGTCTGTCATGTGCATGCCGTGCCCTCAGAGGCCAAAAGAAGGAGTGGGATGCTCCCTAACTGTTGTGAACTGTTATGTGGATTCTGGGAACCCAAGTGGTTCTTCTGGAAGAGCCGCTAGTGCTCTTAACCACTGAGCTATCTCTCCAGCCCCATCCTTAAAAAAAAAAAAATAACCCAACTAGTCCAATTAGTGCTGCCCACAGACTCAGGGATGTGTGGCCATTTACTGGAGCATAGTCGATCTACCAAGAGCCACACTCTGAAAAACAATGCCCCGCTCCCCCAGCAGCCATCAGCTGAGCCCTGCTTCTCACATGAATTCATTTCCCTCCAGAGCAGAGGATTCTGCGCAGAATTGACAGAGACTGCCATATACTTATACCCTGACTTTGGGAGGATTTAGTCTTGCTGGTTTTTGAGAGGATAAAGGGAGTGTCTGCATAGGACTGTGTGGTCAGTGCTGGGGGTGTGGTGGCCTCGAGATGCGGAAGGCAGCTGGCTCAGGGCAAACTGGATGCGTGGGTCTCTGAGGACACGTGTCCCAGCTGGTTACAAGGAGCAGGGATCCAGAGCCTTCTCTCATTGCCCGGTACTTTGCCAGACACAGCCACAATCCTGGGATTCCTGAAGCCATGAAGACTGCAGTGTTAGCTATGGCTCTGTGGCTGCTGCTGCTATCCCAGGTTGTTCCAGGTAACCTAGACCCCTTCAGAGGGACAGAGCTGGAGAGTGGGTCTGCCTAGGGTACTTAGGGCCTGGGTGGATAGCTGGATGGCTATGAGTCACGGTCTGGGGCAGTGGAAAGGGCCTCAGATCTTGGGGTTAGAACCTACAAGCCAACTCACTCCTCTGTGTTTCAATTTTTTAATTTTTATGTAATAAATTTGATTGAAAGGTCAAGACTGAGCACACTGAAATTTTGGTGTGCAACGAAGGCAGCTTCTGTGCTTTCTTAATTCATTCAAGAGTTCCCAGGAACTTCCATTCTGACTTATTTATTTATTTAGTTTTTTTAAGACAAGGTTTCTCTGTGTAACAGCACTGGCTGTCCTGGGATTCACTTTGTAGACCAGGCTGGTCTCAAACTCACAGAGATTAGACTAATGGTTCTAAGCCATACATTAAATCTGTTGCTACCATCCTCTCTATTGAAGTAGAGCTCTTAGTCTTGGGCCATGGAGGGTCTTTGACCTGAGGCATTGATCTTTCTGACAGAGCCCTGCTTGTCTTCAATACCTTCTTCAGTCTCTGGTGTGATAGGATGTCTCAGGCTTGTTTTGTAATTTCTTGACCAAAAATAGTTTCCATGTTTCCAGTTTCCAAGAATTGGATACTAATTTCTACTGGCTGCTCAATGTCTCTAAGCTTTGCAATGACTAGAAATGGGAGAAAACTATTAAAAACGAACACGAATTCCTACTGGTACTTCCCATTCAAATTTACAACTTACCTCTATATTCCTTTATTTCTTTTTCTTTTTGCAGTGGTGGGGATGGAACCCAAGGCCTTGTGAGTTTTGGGAAGCATGCTGCCACCGAGTCACACACCTGGCCTGCTGGGAATAATGGAATATACCCCACTTCCTTATTTCACCATCTCTTTCCACAAATACCTCACAGTAACATGTTCTCAAGACATTGACAATTTCTGCACAAGTTCTCAGTGTACTCTCATCTTTATACCATGTGGTATGGCTTTGTCATCAGGACAGGTAGCCATTTAGTCTTTTATGTACTCATTTCATTTTTATATTTTTGTGGTTCATGCTGGGCAGGCATTCTAGTCACTGAGCTCTGGTGACGATTTTAAGTCATCATCTAGTTTGAGTTTCTATAAGGCACTGGGTATTTAACAGTTAATCATGTGTGTAATTTGCTAGTCTGAAGCTCTTTCTCCATTAGAGTCTGTAGGAAAGGCACTTGGAGGCAATATTTGTCCGGTTTCAGATGTGAACAGCTCCTTGCTGTCCTGTGTTCTTGGAAGGCATGAGTATCTTAGATACACAACACCAATCTTTACTCTTTGTCATAACACATCAAGAAGTTTTAGTCTAACCCTGCCCCCCTCCTCTCTCTCTCTCTCTCTGTGGGTGTGTGTGTGTGCCCACAGCCTGATTGTCCCAAACATTTTTGTTTTCTTTTTGTCCAGTAACATTGCTATAGTCATCCCGTTTTGGCTCAGCTCTCTCAGGCACACTCTATGCCCTATGGTATGCATTTCAAGTATTTTTCTATTGGCGGAAATGTTATTGAACATAGTTTGCTGTGTTTCCTTCTTTGTTTCACTTAGTGCCTTGTAGTTTGGGTGTGTTGAATTTCTTATCAGTGGCGGGCACTTTCCATTGATTTCTTCTTATTTCGTTTTCCTTTCTAGCATCTCTGGTGGCCTATTGGTTAGGATTCATTCTTCCTTTCTTTTGTATTGAAATATTTTATGTTTTTTTGAGAATTTCATGCACAGGTACTTCATATAATTTCTACCTCTTTTTTCCTTGTTCCAACTCCCACTGTGTTCCCAACACTCCATCTTGAATTTATGACCTCTTCATATACACATATGTATATATATACATATGTGTGTGTGTGTGTGTGTGTGTGTGTGTGTGTGTGTGTATTTTGCCCATCCACACTGTCATATCTGCTGGTGTGGTCATGTAGGTCTTACTTATGCAGCCATATTGTTAGAGTTTCATGGGCATAGCATCTGGCCATGTCCGGAAGACAGCAGCAATTGGTATCTTGGTCCTTCTACTGTCTTTCTACTTCTCTGTTACATCCCCCAAGTCTTAGGTGGATGGGTTGTATTGTAGATATAGTAATTGGGCCAGACTCCTTATGGCCATTAATTCTCTACATTTTGACCAGTTGTGGGTCTTCTCTTCTCTATATAAATATCCTTTCCATTTTGCATTTTTCATTTCTCTTAAGCCATTAGCTTTCATTATCTGCTAATGTGTTCTTTCTAGTTCAGTTTTTTTTCCTTGTAAAATGACTCAGACTAATCAATCTTCACTGCGGTCCTGTCATTTCATAGCTGGATTTATTTAATACTAGTGGTTTTTACACAAATTCATTAATAATTAGTTTTATGGGGATGGGGGAGGGTTAAGGTAGGAGGGGAGGGAGAGGGAGCAGGGATTGGCATGTGAAGCAGGCTTGTTTTTAATCTGAACTAATAAAAAAGAATTTCTTAGAAAAAAAGAAAAGGAAAAAAATATGGGTCACAAAAAAAAATAGAGTTGAGAAAGAAGAAGAGATTCTTTTCTGTCCTGGATTTTTATAAAGTAATTCTTTATTATAGTTCCACCTAAATATTTTCCTGGCTAACTTTAGTATCACTACAGAAGTGTTGCTAGGAGGTCTAATCAGTGCTAAATGTGTCATTATGTAAGCATGACAATTTTCCAAACTAATGTTGTCAGGAAATAATAAAGTCAACCAAGTTGGCAAAAACATGGGGAAAACAAATGTGTTGCCATCTAAAAATTACTAGAAGTCCTAGAAATGCAAAATCAGTAAAAAGGTAATAAAGAAATATTAGTTTTATTTTACATTTTACTTCTATTTCTTTAGAGACAGTGTCTTGTAGCTGAAGCTGGTCTCAAACTCTCTGTGTGTTGCTAAAGATGTCCTTGAACCCCTGATCCTCCTGCCCCTAACTTTTGAGTGCTGAGATTGAAGATGTGGCTATCGTGCCTAGTCTATGCTATGCTAGGGCTGGAACCCAGACCTGAAACATGCTAGGCGAGCACCAACGGAGCCACACCCTTTATACTGGGAATAGCCACAGCTCCCTGAGACATCCACATCTCCTTGTAGAAAAGAGGAAACAGATTCTTAAGAAAGAAGTTATCATCTCAGGGTCTCCCAACTGGCTCAGGGGACAGGTAGATTTCAAATCCAAAGTATAGATTCCGATGTTGGTAGCCTCATAGCCTTCTGTGCTGTTAACCCTTGTAACCCACTGCACTTCTAAGAGGGAGCATTTATGAAGGCTGAGATTGGGATGAGGGACCATAGAGGATGTGAGGTGATATGACCTCCCTAAACCGCTGGGGGTGACTGTTCCTTCCACAACCCCCATTTTATTGACTGGCCCTCTGGTATCTACCTGGAACCCCGTGTCAGATACAGGTGTCCTTGTTTGTGTTTTGGATTAGGGAACACCGAAAGGTGCTGGAAAAATCAGGGTGCCTGCCGCAGCAAATGCAACAAGGAGGAGAAGCTCTACATCTTGTGCAGTTACAGCAAATTGTGCTGCGTGAAGCCCAAGAAGGTGCCACTGCTGTCAGAGAACAGGAATTGGCACTCTAAAACCCAAGGTGACAGAAATGAAGGTGGACCCACGCAGAATCTGACCTCGGCTGTTCCCTGAGCTTCATTAAAGCACTCTGGCTGGCTGACTTGCGTGTTTGCCTCTTTGTCTATGTAGCCAAACGTCATCGGAAGGCATGTGGTAAAAGGGTGCATTTGTGCATTTAGTTCACCTTTCCTAGGAGTTCCGCATCTGCGGGGCAAAAATATTCAGAACTATTTTCATCTTTACTGATGCGGGCTACCTTTTCTAGTTGTTTCTAAACAATATTTTCAAGAATGATATACACAGCATTTACACTGTATTAGGAATTATAAGTAATCTAGGCATGATTTAAGTATAGCTATTCCTTGTGGTCTATGGTTCTGTAATCCAAAATATGTGTACCTCCAATTCTCTCACATATTGTATTATACTGTTTGTGTGTATCCTCTGCACATTCCCTCAGGTGCTTTGTTTCTTACATATATTATTAGGATATATTGATTGTGCAAGATAGTAGATTTTATTGTAACATTTTCATTTGGCATACAGTTTTGGTCATGTTCATCCCCCCATTACTTTCTTACACTCCCCCCCAACCCCCTTTTTCTTCCCTAATAATCCTCTTTTGATATTTGTGTCATTTTTATTTTCTTCTTAAAATTCCACGTATGAGACAAAGCATCTTTGTTTTCCCAAACCCTGGCTTATTTCACCTAACAAGACAATCCCTATGGCTGCCCATTTTCCTTTAAATGAAATGGTGTCTTCATGACTGAACAACACTTCATTGCCTGTACATTCCCCCACCCCCACTTTCTTACATTCCGTTTCTGACACAAAGTCTCACTCCATAGCGCAGGCTACAGAACTCACTGTGTAATTCAAGTTGCCTTGAACTTGTGGCAGGACTACTGCTTCAGCCTCCCGAGTGTTGCCATTACCAGAATGAGTCACCTCACCTGACTAGTCCACGTGTTCTTCATCCATTCATATGATGGTGGACACTTGGGATGTCTTTATGACTTGGCTACTGTGAGCAGTGCTGTGATGGTCATAAATGCAAGTGGCAATAACACTTGCTGATTTATCTTCCTTCTTGTGTGCCCGGGACTAGGACAGCTATGTTGTAGCAGGTCTATTTATAATTGTGTGAAGAATGCCATGTGTATTTCCATGGTGGCTACACTAATTTATATTCTCAGAAGCAGGATCTAAGAATTCTGTTTCCCTTTCACCCTCTCCAGGATTTTATTTTTCTTCCATGATTGCCATTTTCTTTTTTTGGGGGTGGGTGGGTGGGTTTCAAGATAGGGTTTCTCTGTGTAACAGACCTAGCTCTCCTGGAACTCACTCTGTAGATCAGGGCTGGCCTCAAACTCACAGAGATATGCCTGCCCCTGCCTCCTGAGTGTTGGGATTAAAGGTGTGCACCACCAGGGCTAAGGAGATGGCTCAGTGGTTAAGAACATTGCCAGCTCTTCCAGAGGTTCTGAGTTCAATTCCCAGGAACCACATAGTGGCTCTCAACCATCTATAATGAGATCTGGTGCTCTTCTCTTCTGGCCTGCAGGTTCTATGTGTAGCTAGAACACCATATACATAAAATAAATAAATCTTTTTTTTTTAAAAAAGGTGTGTGACCCCACCACCCAGCTGATTGCCATTTTTAATGTAGAATGGACTGCAAGCTATTCATTTGACGGAGGATTAGTATCCAGAATATATAAAGAACTCAAAAAGAACAAAAGCGACCAATAATTACATGAAAAAAATACCAACATCTGAAGATGGATGTTTCTGTCCTGCCTGGTCCCACACTACTTTGCCCCAAATAAACACATGGACGATATATTAATCATAAAATTATTGGCCAATGGCTAGGGCTTCTTACTGGCTAGCTCTCTCTTAATTATTATCCCATAACTACTAATCTATGTATTTCTACATGGTCTTATCTTACCAGAGAATGCCTGGTGTATCCTATCTTCCCAGTCTCTACATGACATCTCTTCCTGGCAGCCTCTTTCCACCTCTTCTCCCCAGAATTCTTCTCCTCTCATAGCCTCGCCTATACTTCCTGTCTATTTACCAATCAGTGTTTTATTCACCAACCAATAAGAGAAACATATATACAGAAGGACATCCCCTATCAAACGTCTTTGGCCACCAGGGAAGTGCAAACCCAAATCCCTCATGTACCCTAAGTCATCTCTATGTCACTTGTCATGCCCAATGGAATGAAAACATATATAAGTAGTGCATAAATGACCATATACACACAAACTAGAGGCAGTGCAAGCTTTTAATCCCACCCATCCCTGAACACATCTTTAAAGTATCAATGAGGTCTAGTGGTCAAGTAAAACCATGTGTACTTAGGCCGTGCAGCATGGTGCTGACAGACATCTGTGTTGTGAAGGGGTAGCACAACTGAGTTAGTTAACACATCCATCTATCAGTGCTAGCAACTTTTCCTTGTTGCTGTGAGCAAGTGCTTACAAGAAGCAACTTAAGGGAGCGAGGGTTTAGGAGACAGACATGGAGAGAAGGCCTGGTGGCTGGAGCGTGAGGCAGCTGGTCAAAGGGCATCTACAGCCCACAAACAGTGTGAGGTGAGTGCTGATATTCACTGTTTCTCCCTGGATCAGCTGCCTCATTTTCAGTCTGGGACCCCCAGACTCACGTGCAGGATGGGCTTTTCTTCCTCAGTTAAGACCCTCTGGAAACTCCTTTTCAGACACATCCATTATTCCTCCTTAATGCCCTATGTTTTCTTAATCCAGTGAAGTTGACAGTCAGAATTAACCACCACAAATGTACTTCTTATCAACCTGACATCCAAACACACAGCTTTTAAACCATTACATCCCATGTCTGGTCGTGAAAGACGCATGGCCATGTCATAAAGCAAAACCGTGTTTAGTTTATCTGCAAGAGTAACTGCAATCTGAATCCAAGGGTGCTCGCCAAGCCTGATGGCCTGAGTTTGATCCCCAGGACCCATACGGTAGGAGGGGAGAAGCAACTTCCCACGGTTGACCTCTGACTTCCATGTTGGAATTTAGCACAGGTGTGCACATAAACAACAAAGAAATACATGTAGATTAAATAGAAGTAGATTAATTTTTGAGCAGACTTTTCCATCCTGTCCTGCTCCGTATTCACTTGCAGCTCAGCTGGGGGTTGCTGCTCCATGTTGTCTCACTGTAAAATCCTGAGCCAACAGTTTTGCCTTTTGTTGCTGATGCTGTAGAAGGAGAGGGTGCCACTGGCAGTTACCTGGTCTAACTTTGGTGATAACATTGCTCACTAGCAACAAACAGTGTCATGACCACATCCAAACACAAGAGGACCGAAGTGTAATCCTGCACTGAGCTTAGGAATCCAGAATTATCACAACAAACCCCCTGAGAATGGCTGAAAACCCAGCTCTGTGTGCCTGTACTCGGGAAGGAACTCTGGAGGTGATCGGTCTCTAGTTGGTATTTATTTAACAATCATGTCTTGAGTGTTTTTCAAAGGTTATGGAGCCTGTTTTAAATGTTTGTTTTACGGGATGTGGTACACACCCAGCACTTGGGAGGTAGAGGCAGGAGGATCAGGAGTCTCAAAGCAACCAGACAGACTAAACAGTTTGTCTTAGGACAGAAACTGGCAAGTTTTACTTCCCCTCCCAGCATCTTTGTCCTTGGCCCATGGGCAACCAAATCTGAGTTGGTTGTTTACTCCTCTATTTTTCCTATTGCTTTTACAATGGCCTGGGCAGTTTTATGGATAAGTTAGAAGAGTCTACACCTGGAGCAGGGAAAGCATTATCTGCCCCAGGAGGGCAGTGGCTGGTTCTGGGGGAAGAAGACAAATGAATTACTGAGGGGGTGGAAAAACCTCCGGAAAGGCAGAGGCTGAAGTGGTGATAAGAAGCCGGAGAGAGATGCCAGGGGTCAAGGAGGGCAAGGAAGTGATAAACTCCGGAATGCGCTCAGATAAAACGTCAGCAGCAGCCCTCTCTCCCATTTTCCACAGGGCCTCAACAGTTACTCTGTGTCCACTCCAGACACAGAGAGGGGGATGGCCTTGAATTCAATTCTGGGTAAGCAATCTGACTGAGCCTTAGACTTTCAAAGCTTTGAAATGTTCAAACTTAATTTGAAGATTTGCAGTTAGGAGTCTGTGTCTATGACACTGGGTCTTAGCCATGCTGGTGAGGAAGGTAAGCCAGGGCACACCAGGGAAGGAGAGGGACCAAGAAGAGCACACAGGCTGAGAAGTCAGGAAGGCAAGCTCTGATTGTTAATGGCAGTGGTGGTTAGCCTTCATGGCACTGGCCAACCTGGAACTTGAATGTTCTTGAACTCATACTGGGATTATAAGTGTGGGGCCACCAGGTCAGCGTCTTTAGCACCTTCTATAGTGGGAGACAATTGTCCTTTCCACAAAGACACAAGGGACAGAGTGACTCCCAGATGGAAAGGGCATCAGAAGCTGAGCTTGAAGAGGAGCCCATGGCCACTGGATGAACAGTGTCTCCATCTGGAGTATTTCCCTTTGCTGGAGCCAGGTCTAGCATGTGGAGAGGAGATGCCGTGGATTGGGTACACCAACAGGCACTGATTCTTGGGGTACTTTCAGGCTATTGCTTTCTAAAATGTCATCCCCTGGCTATATGTCTCATTGCACCCCAGTCCTAGCCAAGGGTGACTCCCCCTTTTTTTGCCATGTCAACACAGGACCTTGGCATACCAGGCACTAGGAACTACCATGGAGCTACAACTTCAGCCCCAGATGACAGCTTCTGTCACTAAAGACAAGGTGCTCTTGTCTTCAGACCAAGATTTAAACTTTCTTTTTATTTGTTCTTTGTGTCTTTCATATCATGTATTCAATCCCATTCATTTCCCCATCCCTTCGTATCTGCCCTCTGCCTTTGCAATGCCCCCATCAAAATAAAATGTAAGAGGGAAAGAAGAAAAAAAGGAAAAGAGGAAAAATCTCATCATGGAAGCTTAGAGTGACACAGTGAATCAAGGAGTAAACACTTTTGTTCCTATGTCTTCACTTGCAAGTGTTCATTGCAA